TTTTTTTTTTTTTTTTTTTTTTTTTTTTTTTTTTTTTTTTTTTTGCAAAAGTTGAGAGCTTGCTTTAGGCCTTAGGGAGTTACTCTGTAGTGCATCACTTGAGGCCATACCTTTCTGAGTCTTTTATAACCTTGGAAAAGACAAGGAATGCCTAGCACTTCCTTTGAGAAAGGGAGTAAATCACTTGGAAGAATTGCTTGTTAAGTAAAAGTGCCAGCAAGACCATGAGCAGGCTTTACTCTGCCTCCAACCCAAATAAGTGTCCTTCTAGCTTTGCTGTATTCCAGACATATTTGTTGAGGAGCAAGTAACCTAAATATGGGATTCGCTGAATCCTCCAGCCTAAATTTGGGATTCACTGAATCCCAGCCCCTACATCAAACTTGACCTGTTGGTATTTTAGCTTTGGATTTCTGAGCTGCTCTGAAATCATGAAGGTCAAACACTAAAGAGTTTTGACTGCTGGCTTCTTCCAGCGGAAACCAGAGCAATGCAGCTTCTGTTTTCTTGAGGAAAATTGCTCTTAAGAATGTTCACAAGGGAGTGCCCAAGCCCTGCTGGATTGCTCAGCCAGGAACTTGCTGTTCCAAACAAATACAAACCCCTGGTGCTCAAAGTCTACTCCAGAGCTAGATAAAGCCAGAGTCTGATGTCTAGCAAGGATGCTACAGCTGGGTTGGTACAGGGTAGAATCCCATCTCCGAGGATTTATCCTGGACAAATTCCACAGGGTAGTGCTGAGTTTCTGACTCTAAACATGGGGATATCCATGTGTCCTTTAGAGAGCTGCAGTATCTTTTACCTCTTTGGTGGTTGCAAAGGGTTATCTGTCTCTGCTGAAACCCTTCCTTGTGATTCCAGAGAGCACCTTAATCAGGCTCTGTAGGAGTCTGCTGAGAGCTCTTCCTGACAAGCCAGCTCTGCACTTCCGTCCCCTTCCGACATCAGTAGGGATTTAGGGATCCATAACAGTCATGCTAAAAGCAAAGGAGTGACCTGCCTTCCAGATAGCCCAGTTCAGAAGTGGTGAACTGCCTCAGGAAGGTAATGATGTACGGTGTTCTTACATTGTAATGTCAAGCCTGGCGTTGCTGGACTGTGCTTTTTAGGCTGTTTCAGAAAGGAAGAGTTTCGATTGTCACATCAGCTGCTGCCGTGATCTTTAAGCGCATAAATTTCATCTTACTTTGGCACTCTCTCAGAACTGAGCATGAGCTGAGCTCCCCAGGACTCAAACAGATGTATGAACACATGTGTGAATCAGAGCTCTTAAAACCTTAAGGCTATTGAAAAGTCAGAAAGGGTAAGGAGCTGAACTCAAAGCGTGCAACTGAAACTTCAGGCAGGGAATTTAAGCATGTTAGAAGATAAATCTTTAACTTTGTCCTTTTTTTTTTAGGTTGCACCTGGGAATTTGGTGCCATGGTGAATTACATCAAGAAGACCTACCCGCAGACCCAGCTGGTTGTTGTGGGCTTCAGCCTGGGTGGAAACATAGTGTGCAAATACCTGGGAGAGAGCCAGGCCAACCAGGAGCGAGTCCTGTGCTGTGTCAGCGTGTGCCAGGGGTACAGTGCACTGAGGTGGGTCTGGAGGCTTCTCCGTGCTGGGCTCTTCTGGGAGTGCAGGTGGGGGCAGATCCTTGGCAGGGTACTTGTGGAAGGGTAGAGTGAAGGTGGTAGTTTTTCTCTTGTGTTGACTGGTGGGACAGACTGCAGTGTGCAGGATGCCACCCTCCTGAAGGATCAGCTGATGCTTTGTTGATTTGAAAGCCTTAAGCTTCTTGTCAGCAATGCAAACAGGTTTTCTGTACCTGGTCAGATACACACTGACAGCTTCTGGGCTGTGCTTATGAGGCTACAGTGTCCCTAGAGGAGGCATTCCCAGTGCAAGTCCTGCTTAATTAACCAGACAGGCTAGGCACTGTGACCAGCTGCTGAGCTGATGCCAGTTTGCAAGCAATAGTTTACATTGTCTCATCACTCTGAAAGGTATCCCGTGGTTCATAATAGTTCGTTTGGCTTCAGTGTTTAATTCCATCTGGTGGGTTTTGTCTGGAAAGAGATGCAGCACAAACCGTTCCATGCTGCCCTCTTAGTGTGTGTCACTGAAACAGTGCTGTGGGCTGATGAGATGGAGAGGCACTTGAAGCTGTTCTAGGAGTGGGAAGTTAGGGAGGAGAAGGCTTATAGCCCTGGAGTCTGCTCAAAATTTTAACATGTCTTCCCCACCATGGAAGCCAAGGCTGTGGCGCTTCGGGAACTGTGGTGGCTCCACTTGCACATACTGATGGAGGGTCCAGGCACAGTGCTGCTGCTTGAAAACTAGTGCCTCAACTAATGTGCTTTTTATTCCATGTATGCACAGTCAATGAAGCCAGTGTAACTGGCTAAGCAGCTGTTTTCAGTTTTTACTTTCTGTACACGTGGACAGCAACTAAAATGTATCTGACTTTACAGTAATTTAACTGCAGTTTTTGAGCCATGAGGTTATTTACAAGGCAAGAGGGGTTCTTGAGACTCATATTTGGTTCATGATCCTTTGGACTGATAGAAATGGTCAAAACTATGGCAGACCTGTGAGGGGCTTGCTATGGAATTTGGCCTCACAGCTCTGTCAAGGTGGCTGGAATTCTCACTGCTGGTGATGCTCTGCCTGTATTGGGACCAGTTTGATATTCAGCAGTCTGAAGACACCTTTTTGAATTAAGCTCTTACAGGTAAAAATAAAAAGCTTTTCTGGAAACATTAAGATGTGATTAAAAGTTTAATATACATGTAATATTCCAGCATACCTAATCCCTTTTGAGGTCAGATGTGACTACTGCTAAAATACATATAATCTGCTGCTAGTTCACACCCTTCAAATCTGAACAGATACTGCAGGAACAGCTGTTCTGTTTTGTTTCAAGTAAAATGTTCTTAGCTGTCCTGGGGTTCTGGCATAGAGTACACAGCATCCTTTTGAAGCCAGCTCCTTAATTGCAGCCATCAGACAGGGTTTGCAGGAATAACATCTGGCTGAGGTCCACTTGGTTCATCTTGTGCAATTACACAATATTGTATTTCTGGTCTCCAAAAGGATGTTGAGAGTAATGCTGTTATGCTTGCAGGGCAAGGACAACCTGATTAACAGTACTCCACTTGGATATTTGTGTGGAAAAACAACTGGGTGGGTTTTTTCCTGAGTTTAATGCAAGTATTGAGTGGGTTGTGTGGTTTACTGAGCTCTTGCCTCCACCTGCTGGGTAAACATTTCCTAGCAAACCTCCTGTCACAAAACATCTGCTCTCTATTACTGGTCAGCCAGCAGGAAGGCTCTTCAGGTCTTGTCTCCCTACCTAATATCTGCTGCTGCTTTAAGTGCTAATTTGCTGAAGAATTAAAGGAAAGCAACATCTACTGAGCAAACCACAGGAGAGGGAAGGCCTTGTGCCCTGGTTATAGAAGTGGGAGGGAAGGAGTTACAAAGCACCTCCATGTACATGGTTAAGCCTTACCCTTTGTGGGCTTGGTCTGGTAGATTAAAATAGCTGCCTTCAGCCTTCTGGGCTGCATGGAAGTGGATTACCCTGGTAGACATGACCAGTTAGTTTACAATTCCATTTTTTTATATTGATTTGTCCAGCCTTTACCCCCCAAATAATCTCTTAGGAAGTGAAGGAAAAAAGTGGTGGTGAGCAAGGGATCTCAAATAGGAAAGCCTTTCCAGAGCAAGAGCAATACTAGGATTTGCCAAAAGAATGAGACTCTTAGTTTAATGAATTAACAGAGTCAGGGGAATGTGTTCCCCGAGGCTAAACAGGGACAGGTCTCCTTATTCCTTAATCTCTGCCTGCACAGGCTTGATTCTGCTTCTTGATCTTGTGGAATGCAACATCTCCATAGCTACAGGCTATGGGGAGAGACCTCAGCTTTAAAACCTGGGCAGTCCTCAAAATACAGGAAAGCTGCCTGTGGTTTTTTTTTTTCAATGCTGACAACTCTTCATATTGGGAGTACTGCTGTACACCGCAAGAACTGCAGGGAAATGTAGTAGCTTTAACTTCAAATGTCTTGTAATAACTTGATAGGTTTGGAAAATCTTTTGTGAAGAAAGAAATGTGCATTGTCCTGTCTTCCTTCATTCCCCTGCCCTGGAAGAAATGTGGTAGTTATAGTCTTGCTAGACAAAAAGATGTGGAAGGTTGGGTGGGCTTTTTTTTTAAAAGAAATTCTGTACTCTGGCATTACTTACTACAAGAAAACAGCTTGCTCTTGCTCTGGTAGGGGATTTGTTGGTTATGGCTTGGGAGGTCGTGCTAAATCTGCTGCAGTTCTTATAGTATGTTAGTTTAAGTGGTGAAGTGCTTCAGTAACTGAAACTGCTCCCAGCATTCTTCAGTCACTGGGTAAATGATAGTGTGTTTCCTCAGTAACAGCAAACCCTGTGAAGAGTAAAGCTCTAACCTGCCCATGACCCTGCATAGCAAAGGAGTGCTGGTATCTGGCAGAGCTCACAGAACTCTGGATGGCTTTAATTCTGTTTTAACAACAGATAAGCTGTGAAGTGCTATTCTGCTTTGACAAAAGGTAAAGACAATTCAGATGATACTTGCAGCTGCAGCTAGTATTTATCCCTAAAGTTCCTGCCAATGAAGCTGTGTCTATGCATATTGGAAACATCTGCACAAATTATGTCCTCTGCAGAGCTATGTACACAATAGGCAACACTGTTCAGAAACGGGTTTTGGCTCTTTCCTTGGTAGTCCTATTATGTAAATTACATTCAACTTCTGCAAAGGGATACTTTGTCAGTGTTTTGGATCTTGATTGATGGCTCTTAAATGCCCTCATCAAAACTTCTAATTTTGTTGTGCAAGATGAGACTGCAGATCTGTTTTCTGATACTAACAAACTTCATCGAAGTGGATTTCCTGGAAAAGGTTAAGCCATGGCAGGGAAGGCCTGGAGGTTTGTTTACATAGCTTCCAAGCTGCCATAAGATGTTAACAGTGTATTAATCTGATCTTCCAAGATCTCCATTAACAGCTTTGTTTGTTCTGCACTGTGGTTTGTTTTGTTTTGTTTTTTCTAGGGCACAGGAAACCTTCATGCAGTGGGATCATTGTAGAAGATTTTATAACTTCCTCATGGCAGACAACATGAAAAAGATCATCCTTTCTCACAGGTGCTGCAGTACATCACTTACACTGATGGTATTGATTGGGTCAATTGCTATACTGGATTTGTCTTCCCAGCCCTTTAAAATAGGACTCCTGGAAGTTCTTTGGTTGATCTTTAGATGAACCAACAGAAAAGGGGAGCCTGTGTCAACCTCATCAGTACATTGTAAAATATACAAATAAGCTTTGGTCCTTTTGTTGGAAGAAAGGCCTTGTTGTCTTTTTGTTTTCTGTGAAAACTTGCTCAATGAATAAACAAGGCATGCACAGGAAAACATTGCAATTAGACTTCAAAGTCGAGTATTCTGCATCTGTTTCACTTCTAGCCAAAGAATTCCCTATTCAAGGAGCCTCTTGTTCTGCCACCTACCTGAGGTAGGACTAATCTTCAAGATCTACTGTATGGAGCTGCTGCTTATCAAATAAGCAAATAGTCAAACCTGTAGCTCTGGCTTCTAGCTGTTCCTCTAGAAAGAGCCTGTAGCCAGCAAAATACTTAATGTTGCTGTTCCTGGAGTGCAAGTGCTGCTGTTGCAATCCTGTGTCTCCCCATAACAAAGAATGTGTGTACTAAACAGATGACATATTCAGTGTTGTTTTTCCTCACTAAAAGTTCTCTGGGTGGTACTTTCTAGGGCAAGAAAGTACCTCATCCATGCCTGACTGAAGAGAAAAGGAGAGGAATATCTAAGACCCACTGAATTAAGAGCATGTGTCACTTCAAACTTTTGGTTCTTTGTTTACACTCCTGTGCAGTATGAAACACTTGTAGAAGTTAGGGCAGCTGATGTAGGATGATCCACTTAATTCATTCCAGATTTACAAATATTTGGACAACTTGACCAAATTTAACATCTGAAGTTAGGTAAGCTCCCATTAAAAGGTACTTAAATTTGTAACCCAGAAAAAGCCAGCACTGGCTTGAAGGCAAGTATGTTAAGTGAACTTTTTCCATCATCACTTGTGCTCTTAGGCAGCTCCCCCAAATCAAACCTAGCTCTGCCTTGCAGCTGCCTCTGAAAGGGAATAAAAATCCGTTTCCAGCTTGTGGCTTTCTTTCTGTTTGTTCGGGGAGAAGTTTGTTCTGGTAAAGAAACATTCTGTCCTGGGGGCAATAATTGGTTATGACAAGTGTCCATAGTAAATAGCTTTCTGCTAAGGTAATGCCTTGAATAATTTCTGTTGTGTAAGCTAGGCTGATGTCTGTGCTGGGGGGACTTAGGACCAGATGGTGGAGGAGATGCTATGCTCAGGACTGCTCATGCTCTCACCCAAACCACCCACAAGCTTGGTGTGAAGCCAAAGAACCCTCCCTCTAATATGTAGCCTCTGTTCCAAATACCCTTAGTGCTCTCTGTTCCGGGATGGTTCTTTTTAGAGGCCCCCTCATGCAGTTTTTCAGTATATCAGGACAACTTTTTTCTCTGAAGAAGCTGCTGAAGCTTCTGTTACATCTTACTGTGAAGGGAAGTGGACAAATATGTTCTTCTTGTTCGCAAGAAAGCGTCATGTATATGTAGCCCACTTCTAGCCTTGTCAGATTTCGTAGACTCACTTGTCCTTAATGCAGGTCCTGCTTCCCTCTTGTTACTTGGTTGTAATTCTTGATGTTACTCTTTCAGGCAAGTTCTTTTTGGAGATAACATGAAGAAGCTACATAGCCTGTCAGATGCTGACCTGAGCAAGCTCTATACAGCCACATCCCTTATGCAGATTGATGATAACGTGATGAGGTATGAAGGACAGTTCTCTGCTCCTCTATAGAACTCTGAAAGTACCTCCTCTTCCCAGTATTGCTCTTGCATGCCCTTTGCTGTGCCTGTAGGAATGTGCTGAAATACAGTGAACACAAATTCAAATTCTTACCTACCTCCACACTGAAGAAAACTTAGTAGAAAAAAACTTACTACTGACAGTCACAGCGTCTTTAAAATAATCCATGAGGTGTTTATCTGTAACACCTGAACCTGCAGCCTTCAATAATGTAGGAAGAGGCCAGCTCTGCTGCCGAGCTCTAGCAAAAAAAAAAAAAAGTGGAATGTGGAAAGCATCTCAGAACTGCTCATGGATTTCCTTAGCTCTGTTTGAATCTTGAAAAGAACCTTCTCCCCAAAAAAACACTTGTGCCTTTTCAATACATATGAGGGTTAGTTGAGATAATACAACTTAATTGTCATATTAACACCTAAATTAAGTTCTCTGCTTTATCAACAGTAGCCTGTTATTACCTGTGTCCTTAACAACACCACAGCACCTTAAGTGGCAGTGTCCATACCACAGCACGTTCTGTATCAGGCAGCAACACCTTTCCAAAGTGAAGCTATAAACTTTTATATATATATATGTCAGCTATAACAGTTTTGGCAAACTTAGAGTATTGTTGGCCACTTATAAAAAAAAAAAAGGCCATTTCACTGAGAGGGAAATCTCCTAGCTTGTTTGACCCAACATACCAGCTATGTTGTCTCTTAGATAAAAACAAGGCACTTGAGTATAAGTTTACTGGATTCTGAGGGGCTTGTCAAGTATGTTTGAGCTTCATAAGCTGTGGTGGGATTGTTTCTGAAAAAGCTTTCAGGAAACGATGAGCAAGATCATAACTTTTTCTTTCTTCTACATGTAAAGTGAAGTGGGATACTTTAAAAGAAATGCCCTGAACGCTGCTAGTTTTCAACTTGCATTTTTAACTTGCCCATGCTCTCACCATGCTTGAGTAAGCACAGAAAGCATAAAGGCATATAATGCCAAAGGTGGGTTTTGCAAAGACACTGAGTATTAAAAAATTCTTTTAAAATTGAGGCATCATTCTTGTTTCTGCATATATGTCCTCACTTGAAAGTAACAGTCACATGGGTACTAGAAGCAGATGATTGCAGTGACAATCTGCTCTGTTTCAGGAAGTTCCATGGCTACAGCTCACTGAAGGAATACTATGAAAAGGAAAGTTGCCTGCAGTACTTACACACGGTAAGCTCTTGCAGTAGACTGCTCTTGTACCTTCATTTTCCTGCTGGAAAGAAAATACTATGTGGCTTCTGTCTAACACAGACACAGCTGTCTTAACTGGGATTTCCAGAAATGATCAGGCACAGTATATTGGAGTGGGGTTTCAGTTCTTGCTACCTCTAATACTGGGGGTAAATTCTCTAGGCTCTAACTAGGTTATAATTCTGGCAGGTAGTAGCACCCAAGGGATCTGGATAAAGCCTTGTGTTCAGCTCAACTGCTCCGAGTGCATCAGGATAAGGTGGGAAGTGGCTGGTGGCATAGAACCTGCAGTTTCAAGGAAGAAAGATTTACTGGATACTGTGGAAGAGACTCAGGACACTATCTGGCAGGCAGATGCTTAGTAGACCAGAGTTTTGCAGAAGTGGAACTGAGATTAAGTCCTCCTTTTTCTACTGAACCAAAGGATGAAGATGTTCCAAGGGAGTTTCCTGGACTTTAACCAAGGTGTCCATAACAGAGCTGGCACTAGCTGCCTGATGTGCAAAGCAGAGAAAAAAAAAAGGGTGTAGCTGTTTGGATTCTGAGAATGGGAACTTGATCTCTGTTTGCTCTGATACACCCAGTCTCTTTTTTGCAGTGGAATTGGGGGGAGAAAAATAAATTAACTCTGAAATAGGAGTTATTAATTGAATTAAATGAAGATACTTTTACAGTTGGTAGATTGACATTCAAATACTAACTCTTTACTTTTGGGTTTTTTTCCTTTTGTGCCATGTTTCTTGATGCAGATCTATGTTCCTCTTCTGCTGGTTAATGCTGCTGATGACCCTCTTGTCCATGAGAGTCTCCTATCGATTCCAAGAGCTCTTGCAGGTATGCTGAAGCAGTCTCCTCCAGCTGTGCATATTTGTGCACCTGCAGCTTGCTTATCACATCGTGATTCACCATCTCAAAGCATCTGGACTTCTTCCTTACCTCTGTAATGCTGTGGGAAGAGTGCTAAGCCTCTTTAAATCACCAGTTGCTAGAACTAGCAAGGCTAACCTTGAGCAGGGAAGAACTTTAGTCCACTCTGCTCTTTTGGCTTGTGTTGTTAGCAGGTGACATCCAGGTTATATTCTTGGATGGAAAAATTGATTCCTCATGTCTTCATTTCTCACTGGGATTTAACAGAAAGGTGGGTGATAGAGGCAGTCTGGAAGAAGCACAGATGATGATGGAAGAGGGAGAGTGTGTGAATGGCTGTGTCACTTGGCAGTGGACTGACATTTTTCCCTTGGAAGGAGTTGAGCTATCTTCAGACAAGGAAAAAGGAAAATTATCTGTATTAGCTCAGAAGGGGGAGCTGCTGCTGCTTCATCACACAAATAGTGGGTGCACAGGGAAGGAGGCAGGGTCTGTACTTTTCCTGGTTGAAGGCTGTGAGCAGAGGATTTATCCACAGGAGCAAGCACAGGGTTTTTTTTCAATATCCATGAAACAAGATGGCTGATACATTGTCAGAACTTAGTGCAGCTTGACATGATGCAATAGTCCTAGTTCCAGTGGCTACAAGTTAAAGATGTTCATTTGTTAAAGGAGGTGAATTCTCAGAGCAATACAGCTATTGCTGTAAGGGCCTGGCCAACAGTATTTCTTGGGCAGCCTTGTGCTGTCATCTTAAGATGGTTTCATTCTCAGCTTGAAGATGTTAACCTTCTGGAACTTTGTCTCCTCTTGTTTTACAGAGAAAAAAGAAAATGTCATGCATGTGCTGCCCCTTCATGGAGGCCACCTGGGATTCTTTGAGGGGTCTGTACTATTCCCAGAACCTCTTACCTGGATGGATAAGCTCGTGGTACAGTATGCCAATGCCATCTGCCAGTGGGAGAAGACAAAGCCTCACTGCTCAGATGCAGAGCAGGCCATGTCTGCCCAGGAGTAATTGACCCAAAGACTCTGGATCACTTCAATTTATCTCCCCCTATGGGAACATCTTGTTCCCTCACCTGCTGCTTCAGGTTTCCATTCTCCTTGATATCCTATGGCTGGGGTTTGATCACAAGGTTTTCTTCCAAAGCAGAGTTAAAGCAGAGGTTAACATCTGGTCAGAGCATTTTGGAGTGTATAGTCACTTGTGTTTATAACTTACTCCTCTGCTTGAGGAATTAATTTGCTGACTGTGGCTTGTTACAGGGCAACTGAGCTACAGATTGCTTGCTTTAATATAACAGAAGTTTCAAATGTCAAAATCTCTTCATCTGATGGTCAAAAACTTGATCTGCAGCACTTGTTTAAATATAAATGACCAAGTAACTATCGCTCTGCCCACTGTTCTGGTGCTGGAAAATACCTGTACCAAGCCACAAGCCAGTAAATGTTCAATCTGTAAGCCACTACAATGTGGCTTGGAAAAACGGATGCTTGACTGCAAGTGGAGTTTCAGCTTTGCACCATCTCAAGGGAAACCTTGTAGTTCCTAGGAATGCACTTGCACAAGTGATTCACTTTTAAAAATATTCAATTTTCTATGCTTCAGCTGTCTTTGTTTTGGGGTGGCTTTATACTGGGACACCAAGTAGAGAAGAGCTGCAACCTGGTAACTCCAGTAATGTTTCTATCTGTAAACATTTTCTCACTTCAGGACCTGATCAGTCACCTTGTCATTTTTTGCCTCTCTTTAAATGCAGTCATCTTTTCAGTACTGGATTCTTTGTTTGACCCAGGGCTGGCTCTGGCTTCCAAATGGAAACACACGATCAAGAATCTGCAGGATTTTTCCATGAGATTGATCTGTTTGAAAGAACATTTCATGGAGAGCTATGTACTCTTATGGATTAATTGGGGGGGGGGTGTATCTCTTTAGATTTATTCACCTTATGTCATGGCAAATAATATCAAACTTCTGCCCCTTAGGTTTCAGAGCATGAAATGGTTTTCAGACATGACTTGCCTTACAGTTGATGGGGAGCAGGATGTGTCTAGCTCTGTGCAACTGAAATGACATCTTTGCATTAGTGGCTCCCATAAGACACTGGGCTCTGTCTCACTTGAATTTCTTTTCCACACTCAGACATCCCCTTCTAGTTTTAATGTGCAAAGTAAGGTGTGAAAGCTGGTTGCAGGAAAGATGCCTACTCACCTGTGCTTTTCCTTCAAGTGGCTGTTGTGACCTGTGCCAAGATGGTTATTAAAGAGTGTAGTCTATCTCCTGGAAGGAGAGTTGTCCCAAGACAATCTGGAGAATGAAACTTTGTGGTAAAAAAATCTTTTTTACTGTTTGCTCTGTCAATATTGTAGTTTCATTAATCCATCTTTAGGACTTCTTTATCATGGTGTCAGTGAAATTCTTTTCCTTTCACACTTCCCACATCAGCACTTTATTGCTTCAGCCTTGGTCTGTGTTCCAGGCACTTTAATTTATAGCTAAAGGGTGAAACAAGCAGCAAGACTTCAGACTGGTAATACAGGGGAACAAGCCTTCTGGACTGCCCTGTCCCTGAACTTCAGGAGAGTGGAGAGAGGTGGGGTTTTGGTTTAATAAAGCAATAATTAACTATTGTAGCAAAGGTGCGTCGTCGTATCAGGAAACTTCTTTCATTTGCCTTAGGCCAGACACCTTGGCCTGTTAAAATGAACTGTGGATATCTGCACATTCTCCTTGTTAGTAAATCCAGGTTTCCTTTTTTTCTTCAAAGAAAAATGAAACCAAGTAAAGCTATAGCAAGACTTGGCCGTGCTTGTGGCTGTTCCTTAAGAACTATTTTAGGGCATCAGTTAGCAAGGATATTCTTAGCTGATGGATATCTTGTCTCTGTGTTATCCTCTTATTCATACTGCATCACTAAAATATGTCATAAAAGACATTTCAGTTTTTTGCTTAAGTAGTGTTCATGCAATATTCATTGGTTGTGACTTAAATATCTTCTCGCTTCAGCAAAGTGGAGTGTAAACAACACTTGTACACATCAAATAGATACAGTATAAATTTAGGTGTCTCAGTCTCCTAAAATGAGGTGAGCAACCAGGAAATTCTCAAAGCAGCAGGAGCTGTGACTTTGTATAATCACACAGCTTTTACTTTCAAGTTAGAAGGTCTTCCTGATGAATACTCCTTCCTGCCCCACAATCCAAGCCTTCATATTTCAGAAGTGCCAGTGCTGTGGATTCCCTGAAGCTCTCAAGAAGTAATATGGGTCTCTGTCTTGCTCATTTGCCCTGTTTTTGCACTTGCATCTAAAAGTGTTCAAATTGCTTGTGACTTGACTGATTCTGGCCTCTTTGGGGAAGAAGAGCTTTTGTCATGGCTTGTTCATGCAACGGTTTCTGGAGCCTGAATGGTGGGTGGTTTTTATTTGCCCAGTGAACCCAAATTTAAATGCAATCTGAATTTTTCAGTCTTAGAGGTGAGGTCTTTTGTCTCTCATCAAGACACATGAAGCTGCTGTTGTGTGTACCTGTAGGTCACTGCAGTATGGTCTGATAGAGCAGTTCAAGATCACAGCATGACAAATCTGACATGTGCTCTGCTAAGTTTCAAACTGGGATTAGAAAAAGCAGTAGGAGAGTTCTCCCACACGTAGTCTCCTGGTATACACACCTTTCCCATCACTGGATGTAAGTAGTGCTTGAATGTAAACCCCAAGGACCTTCTCCGTCAGTCAGCAGGTTGAAGAATTATTACTCTTTGATGGTTAGGCTGGTCCAACCATCACCTTTGCTATTTTTCTGGAGAGATCTGAAGACGGTAGGTAAGAAGCTCAAGCTTGCTCTTACTCAAACACCTTTTTGGTGGTACCTTTGTTGGCTTATGAATGGGCGTGTTTTCAGATGGGACTGGCACTGTTGTAGTTGCACTGTAAAGGCAAACACTTAAACTTCCCTATGGTCTTTTTCCTGAGTGTTTTTCTGCAGTTCCTGCGTGTGAAGATACAGGTTACAAAGAGAGGGCATTTAGTAAAAATATTGGGAACTATTAACTCCAGTACTGAACTCAGCCAAGCTACCTGTGTGTCATCTGTCCTGGGTCTGCCGCAAGTTCCTAAACCACAGCCCTTTGACATGTGGTGCCTTGCCCTTTTTCTCCTCCTCCCTTCACATCAGCATATCTAGAGACTTCAGTAACGGCTCTGTCAGAGCTTTTACGCCTTTGCTTTTTGGTTAAGTGAATTTTTAGATACCAGGTGTCAAGGCACATCCTTGATGTACACTGTACAAGCTGTGTGCTGACTTAAAGGACCTTTGTGGGCAGCCTACAACTGGCTACAGTCTATTTCAAGGCATAAAATAACAATGTATATAAGCAGTGGATCATTTGCAGCTCTCTGCTCCTCCAGCAGTTGGAACTGAGTCATAGAAGCAAGGTTTGCTTTGCTTAGTATGTGATTTGTTGTCTTACGGTCCCAAAGCTCTTGTGTCTATTAACACTCTAACAGCATAGCTGGAGGAGATTAAGTGACTACATCTGAAAAGAAAGAGCAGAGAGTAACATCTTCAGGATTTAATTGCCAAATATTTTAGTCACTTGGATTGCTTCCAGTTTTTTCTGGAAATACTATGCCTGTCTGGAGCTTATTGAAATTCTTTTTTTTGAGACCAGAGAAGGCCTGAGCCTTCTGCTGCACATAGGAAGTCATTTGTTGTAAAGAGCATCTTGTTTCTGGCTTGAGCCATACTCCTTGTGTCCTTATTCCTTAGGTGGGTCTGTTCATTGGGAAGGTCCTGGAGCCACAGTGACTCAAAGCAGTGTCTCCTTCGTGACTCCTAGGTGATAAGCAAAAACAGCCCTTCTTGGTGTGAGGACTTTGAGTTTTCTCCAAGCTTAGAATGCCTCAGAGCAGAACCAGCCCAAGGTGGGGGAGCCCTGTAAATGTACCCTCTTCTCACTGGGAGTGGACTTGACACAGGCCTGGACTTGGTCAGCTTTCTATGCTGTGGTGTGGAAGGGTATTTAGGGTTCTCCTGAACATCAGTGCAGGGCGGCACAAAACCTTTTTGTGCCTTGTCTGAATGACAAGGTTGCACTGTAGTCAAAGCTCTTTCATGACTAGAGATGAGATATAGAACTTTCTTCTAGGATCTCCACTATAGTTCTACTGGGATGTTGACCCTTCTCCTGCCAACTGGGACGTCTTTAAAATAAACAAAAAGCCAAACAAAACTCATTCATATTTAAAACAACCAAACCCTACTGCTTAGCCCAAGTCAACAGCTTTACAAAGGAGCATATTTTCTCATTGTGTTACATGGCAGCTTGACCATAATTCCTAGTGACAGATCACTAGGTGTTCTTCTTGAGAAAGCATAACCTCTTTTCTCTGAAACTTCCAAGCCAAAGAGGTGTGTGATGAGCTTGGGAAGAGGAGACCTGTACTCTTGTTTTGCTTGTGCAGCTGTGTTAGAACTGGCAGAGTGACTTCTAATGTTCTTGGTGAGCAGTTGACTACGAAAACACTTTCAATTTGGCAAAATTATATTCTGCAACCATCTTTAAATGCTGCCCTGAAGAAACTTGTATATTGAGACACCCTCCCTGCTGCCATGTTCTGAGTCAGATTCTCTGGAGCTGAGAGCTGCAGGGGAGATGATTTGCAACTAGCAATGCAATTTTTCTATATCTGCTGATGTTTACCTTTAAAATTATATATAAATATATATAAAACAATGTCTTTGATTTTTTTCATTAATTTTTGTTCTTGTGTGGTGTAAAATGGAAGTCACTGCAAAACAAAATGTAATTTTGTTATCTTTGATTTGGTGGGGTTTCTTTATTTAAAAATAAAGGACTTACTGAAGTCAGTGCTATATCTAGTGCCTGTGTGCAAAGTTATATACGTTGGCAGAGGCTCTCAGTCTTCCTCGAGGCCCAGTGTGGGGAGCTGGCTGGGGGGTGACTTGATCTTCTCCCCCTTTCTCTCTTGCAGCACATAATGCAAGGCACTAGTGCTGCTCAAGCCTTTCCCAGTTGCTTTTTGTCTTCTGGACAAGAAGGGATCTTTGATGCCATTCTGGGGGAGATCGGGCATGGCATCAGCTTAAACTGCATGCCTGCCCTGAAAATAGTGAAGAAGAGTTATTTTTGCCAGTGGAGAACATCTGTTATTTTACCCTGCGTGACAGGGAGTGGATTTCCTAATCTTTCCGCTCCTAGCGGGGAAAAAAAACACACAACAGCAACTCCGGCCAGGACAGTGACATCCTTAAGCCCAGGGCATACAAAAGCACTACTCACCTCACACTTAGGAGCTCACTGATGTGTGGTTTATTATCTACCAGGTGAGATAGAAGTGGAGGGGATAGATAGATAGAACTGGGACCTGTGAGTCCTTGGGGCAGCAAGTTTGGGACAAGACTGTTGCTGCTCTTCCCCTGTAATGGGTATTGCTTTGTGGGAGATGTTTTGGGCTTCTAGTTTACTGGCCATTGAGATATAGCTGTTAGTTCTACTTTAAACCTGCTTCCTGGCTCGGTCAGTGTCACTGCTCCCTGCTCTGTTTGCTGTGCTGTTCTGTCTCCCTATCAAAGCAAGTTACTGGCTGATAATCTGTCCCAGCAGTGGTTAGTAGCCACAGGGACCTCATAAAATCTGTCACTGTCCAAGTCCCAGAGGCAGCAGTGTGGTGCTTCTGTCTGTATGTGTGGTTTTGCTGGGTTGTGTGTTTTTTTGTTTGTTTGTTTGTTTCCTTTTCCTGTTTTCACAAGCTGCAATTGCTCTGACTCCCAGGCAAGCTGTGCTGTTGTGTTTGCACTGGCCTGATGGTTGCAGAGTTGTCACATGTGGTTTCCTTGGGATGGCTCCAGATGCAATAAGGAGACAAATACAGCCAAGAGGTGCCTTTTGCTCTCCCTCTGGCCTCTTGCACAAGGTTGGCACAGCCTCAGGCTGGGACTTGCCATGCATGGCCTCACCATCACTGTGCTGCTGGAGCAAAAACAGATTTAACCCCGGTGGCTTCTGCCCAGACAGGCCCCATCCTCCCTGTGGCTTTGGAGCCCACGTTCTGTTTGGTTTGAGTTT